TGTTGAACCCTTCACTGGACTACAGTACGTATTACTGGTACAGTTTTAACTTTGTCAGTACAATGCTTGCAACTGAGTTAAACAGTGTTAACAGAAATTGGAACGGTATGCTTTCGCTCATAACCAAGAAGGAATGGTTGAAACTTTATTCGGATTGCGGCAAAAATTAGAAAGAGGATGGACAAATTCAAAGATAAAAGCAAAAAAGCAGTGTCTTGTGACGGACTTTTTTACAAGAAATAAGTGACATCATATGTTGAGCTAATGCCTTAAGTACAATTAAAAAGAATACATTCTGAACATTTAAAATTTCATTGAGGCTGGGGTGTAATGTGCAACCACGAGAGTGGGTTTCAAAAGATTATTATTATTGTCATTAATTCTTAATTCAAGCAAGCCTACAGTAGTTAGATTATGTAAGTAAAGAGATTACATTGTCGGTAAACGTAAAGTATCAGTGCTCTTCCCTTTGAGCTTATCCATGCAAGTTTAATTTACTGAAAACAAAATTTGTAAAAATTTAATTTACCCTTTTGATTTTTCTTATCAATAATTTCCTTTTTGGGAAGGGCTCCATAATACTCTACAATTACCACATTGTTATTACACGACAATTTGAAAGGATGATTTTCCCCTTTCCCTCTATCCTGGACACCCCTCTAAGTTGGACACATTATCGTGGAACCGCAAGTGTCCAAGTTAGAGAGGTTTTACTGTATTTGCAATTATTTGTCTTAAGTTTGTTGCTTAAAATGCACACCTGGACATTCAGATCCTTACTTATAAATATCTATACAATTTTTAACGCTGAATGCAGTGCCGTCCATTATCTCAACATACGTATTCAACTACATTATTTTTCTTAATGTCGTGTTAAACACCTTGGTGGCTGCATTTGGTTTTTTATGTATCGCTATTTATCAAGACATAAGATTGTTTTTGAAGGGTGTCTATGTAATTGTCTCTCAAAATTATGTTTTACAAATTGTTATATTCTTCCATTCGAATTTTGAGACTGCGATGTTGTGTCTGTTGTGCAGATTGTACTTTGCATTCTTTGCAAAAACTAAAAGGCAATATTCCAAGAGAGACTGCTAATATTTCAAGACAGGAACTCCATCACACGTCAAGAAATAATTTCGGTAGGTGCAAGGCTTGCTTAGAAGTAGGATGTCAGCACATTGAGACTCCTCTATCAAATAAGGTAAGCTGAACTGCAAATGGGTAAGGGGCGAACACTCAAAATTCTAGCACATGCAGTCTCTTATGTGATCATACTTGCATTACAGCTGCAGTTCTTAGAGAGGTGATAAATCTACCACCCTGTTCTAGTAGAACCTTGAGCATGCATCAAATTGATGAACCCTGAACACAAGTCATATTGGCACTCGGTCAGTCTGCTCAGCAGTAGTTTCTTCCATGTTGTTTTTGTTAGAGATTGTTGTGTATGAATATATAATGACTGAATATGAATACAATATTGCATATAATAGATACAGATCTTGTTATTCTGTGTATTACCTGGCAATTTCAAATTCTTAGTTGGAAGGCCATTGTATTATCATGCTCTGTCTGTGGCAACTAGGTACTTAAATGGAACAATGTTGTCTACTGATGTAACAATGCCTGTCTGGAACATAACAAGAAATATCCAGTTGCAGCACAACCAGTCACAGTCAGTCTGTTAATGCTAGTACATGCGCACTAACTAGGTAATTACACTTCTTGGAAGAACAAGAATGAGATATAATACTGAAGTGGATATTAAGAAATATGACTAAAGGCAGCTCATACGAGATTTGCTAGATACACGGAGGCTATCTCAAATGATTACTTACAAATTAAGAACTGATCACTTATTACACCCAACAAGTTTATGGACAAGGTGGAAGATTACTAAAGATAACTATGACATCACCTGAAAAGAAGTAATAAAGCTTGCATACCAACATATACTTTCAACTAAACATAAAATCCATATAACTGCAAAATGGTGTTTTCAAGATATTCAGGAACAATAACAAATTACTGATACAGGTTTCCAACACTGGACCTGTCATATATGCTGAAGGTGCACCAGCCAAAGTTGTCCAACATTTTACTCACATTATCCGACTGTATCAAACGCAATCTTCAAGCAATAGCAAACCATCATAACCCATGCATATCCTTCATTTTTGTAACCACCAAAATTGTTTTTTGAAATGTTTATCATCAGTTTTATTAACATGTGAATGTTATTTCAAAAATGCATGAAATAAAGAATATCTGTCAACCAGTATGATGTCGAAACTTCAAATAAAGTTTATAAAAATGTACTATAATAGCAGTCTTCTCAGCACCCTGTTCTCAAACACCCCCATCCACAATCTTCCCCTTGCCCAAAACAAAGCTTCACACTTTAATAACTCTTTAGCAATACCAACACTTTTATAGGGACCGGACACATGGGTGAGCACTAAATTAAAATATTCAAATTCAACATTTGCCTTAGTTTGGCCATGATAAAGGAAGCAGCAAGCACTTCTGAAATGTCAAACTTCTACTAGACTACACAAAACATCCCACAAGTCATTTTAATAATTAGTCTAAAACAAGTACTTGAACAATTTTCACATTGGTGCTTGAAGAGCTACAGGCATATTTAACTGCACCTAAAATAGGAAGGGGGTGGATTAGAAAAAACCAAGCATCTTCCTCAGCACCAGGTACCTCCACAGTATCAGGCATTAAGAAATCACATCAAGCACAGTACATTTCTTGTGAACATCTTGGACTACTAACCCTTGGCTTTCCACCTACAATACTCTGTTCACAAATATGACCAATGTAAATTGAACAGGGGAAAAGAAACAATTTCAGTGTCCTTACTTCGAATAAACATTCAATTATCCCACAAATAAAATTGAAAAGCAAATTGTAAGCTCAGCTTGTAAAATGGCACTTATGCAACAAAGATTCTTGATCACAAAAGCCTGCCACCAAACTCCATCCTGAGCCAGCTGCATTCAGTTCATTCCATTCATTCCCATCTCCGTAAGGTCTTCCAGTTGTCTCCTCCCTTCAGGGTTCCCAACCAGTATTTTATATTTCTTACAACTTGCGAGGCACAAACACTACAGCTAAAAGAACTCGGGGTGTGGCTGTGTCAGGGACACGCCGTGGGTTTTACGTGAATAAGTCTGCGTTAGCGGGTAATATTTTCTTTGGGATATGGGAATGAAATGAAAATAATGAAATGGATACATGGCTTTTATTTAGCATAACAAATATACAGTCTTATCTAATAATCGATGACAATTGTTTAGTATTGGTCTATGGTAAGAGAAGACACAAAAGGCATGGTCTTCATGGCGTTGGTGGCAGCGATGGCGGCCATGGACTGAACTTCACCACTGTATAGCGAGGCAGGGGCCAAGTACTTTCCCTCTGCTGGGTCACATTGCAGCAGGTGGTTGGCAGGCTTAAAACATGCTTCTGTAATGTCAGGTACTGTAAAGTCCTCAAAGAGTGCAATCTCAGCAGTGGTGACAGGGGCATAGCTAACCACAGGAAAGTGGAGGCGGGGGTTGGACAAGTTAGTCAGCAATGTATCCTGGTCAATATTCCAAATGCCACGAAACCTGGGAACAACTGTAATGGAAGATACAGCCTGGGCAATCAGTCTGTTAAAATGGGTGTAGGTGGGGTGACCTATGTGCAGGTTATTTCAGCAGATGTCATAAATGGCTTTATTGTCAAGCGTGAAAACGAAGTCAGAACATTGCAGCATGGTGTGGGTGGTAAGGACAATGTCGTTCGTCTGCAAATCTGGTGCCAGAAGAGATTGCAAAATCTAGTTTGCTCTTATTGCTTTAGTCAACCGACAGCCTTTCCATAAGCAGGGACGTGAAGCCCGAACCAGTGTCACCACCAAAGGAATAGTAGATCAGGAAACCCTGGGGACAGTCGCACCAGTCGGCCAGCCTTCGGATGCGGTCCACGATGTACCTGCCAAGATTGTAGCGACCTCCAGCATAGATGTTAGTGGCACCTCCATTTCCAGTAATCAAATTATCAGGGTGGAACAGGTGTGTGTACGTGCCACCGCGAACTTCATCTATGGACACACCAGGCAACATCCAATTTCAACATATCAACATTAAACTTTGCTACATTTCAACAAACATTTCCCAATACAATTAAACAGGATGGTCCTTTACTTCACTTATAAGATTTCAAATATACATACCTACTACTGTGTGATCCAGGTCCACAAAAACTGCCCTTGCTACAGGCTTTTTTCTTTCAATCTCGTCGAATAATATGCTGTGAACACTTTCTGGAGTCTTGTCAGATGGCACTTTCCCGCTGGGAGTGATTCCATGTTCAAGACAGAATAGCTCCCACAACATGCATTGCTGATCTTCACGCCAGCTTCTCCAATGTGAATAGAGATCCACTCACTGTGAAACATAACACAACTTCAGACTACCCTGTCACACGACAAGATATAGAAAAATCCTCACCTTTCCTATGCTATTAAGTGAAACATGAAATTACGAATTTCGCAGAGGACTACCTCTGCAAAATACATTCGTGAAAAACATTGTAATCACAGTACTTCCTTACCCTACACCAACTTTAACAGACTGATTGGCCAGGCGGTATCTTCCATTACAGTTGTTCCCAGGTTTCGTGGCATTTGGAATATTGACCAGGATACATTGCAGACTAACTTGTTGTCCAACCCCCGCCTCCACTTTCCTGTGGTTAGCTATGCCCCTGTCACCACTGCTGAGATTGCACTCTTTGAGGACTTTACAGTACCTGACATTACAGAAGCATGTTTTAAGCCTGCCAACCACCTGCTGCAATGTGACCCAGCAGAGGGAAAGTACTTGGCCCCTGCCTCGCTATACAGTGGTGAAGTTCAGTCCATGGCCGCCATCGCTGCCACCAACGCCATGAAGACCATGGGCACAGTCCTTCACGTAGAGTAGAGTTTATTTACATTCCATAGATCCTTCTTAGGATATCAGAAATGAGCAAAATATAGTACTCACCATTGTAGTATATATAATTTGAGACTTATGACAAAAATAAATCTTAATTATGCCGTGTTATTTGCCACAAACTAGCAAGAATGCTTCTCCAAACTTACAATTGCGACCAACTGCCGCTATCTGTTCTAGCATCGTAGAAAGCAGAAATCTCATTGGCTCTATGTGATGTCATACAAGTGCGATTGTACACGCCACCTTATTGGCGAATTTAAACAGGAATACAGAAATTTAATCTGGCCTTACAGTGTGGCCTACATAAAATACGGTATGATGTAGAGAAGAATTTCCCACTTGGAACAATTATCCCCTCAATAACAGTGAAAGGGTTAATTTCCAATGGAAACGTTTCAGCAGAAAAATGTCACCTTGTATTTATGGACAAATAAATTTGTATTAATTAACAGTAAATACTTTATCTTGGCCTAGTTTACACTGGGGAAATATTTATGCCTTATAGTCTCCTTATTTAGATCCCAGTTTTAATACTAAGTGTTTCATATTTGCTAATATTTACTTTTATTAACACAAACATATTTTTGCACATTGTGAACATTTACTGTTTCACAGTCAGTAATTTTTTATTCTATCATCTTAAAACATTATTAACATCACGGAGTTGAGTTTTGCAATTGCATAATATTCAAATGCAGAAGTTATTATCGTTCAACATTTTGAGACCAATTGATTATGTTCTACAACAATCCTTGAATTACTACGTCTTAGCTTTCAGCATATCCCCTCAATGAACATTTTTGACATGGCCAAACTTTTTTAAAATTTCATGAAGATCTAACAAATCTACCTTAAATTATATATGATACAGATAATTTCAAAAATTGCTTTATGCTTCAACAATCTTAGAATCAGAGTCTCAAAGCCTTGCTGTATTTATAATTTTAATCACAAAAATACTTGTAAGATTTGAAGTTTTCACAGCAGCGAGTATGATTATTTCTCGGTTGTTGTGCTCTGTACTCTGGTTCATCACCCTCATGATAGAGGCAGTATATGACCTCTGAAACGTTGGTAAACGTCAACCAGACTACACAGCACAACACAAAGACAGAAAAATTCACAAAAATACTTGCTTACAGAATCTGTACATTCATAACCTAGCAACATACCAAAATTTCATTACTTAATCACTGATGTCAAGGAGAAAAATAAACATACACTATATGCAAATGCCGTGTTATTTTAAATTTTACATACAAATGACAATGACAATTAAACATGCTTAATAGACTTAAAAGCATGGACGGTTCCAAACTGCAACTCATATCATGTAAAATATATAAAAATTAAATTTTACCTGCATTAAAGTGCACTGCCTAATATACGAAAATGTGAATAACTGCATACTAACACTGATTGGTACTAATAACCTCTTGGACACTGTCATGTATAATAAAGAGTACTTCTTATGTCACTTCTAACCTGAAAACAAAAACTGTAAATTACTAGAAAATGTATGTGTGTAACACAAACAAGACTTTCTCGGATGAATTTTAATGCATACTTCTTTTAAACGCTTCTACATAAAACAATCTCATAACTTGAACTATTACAGACTTTCACTACATGAAAGTTGACAGACATAACCTTAAAGTTTAGCATCACTGTTTTTTAAATTTTTAATTCAAAAACAGCTGCAACAAAATTGGTCACCACCGTTAATTCATATGGTATGTTGAGATTGAGATTATCAGGAAGTCTTTATTGTGCCTGTTCTATTTACAAGCATATATTTCCTGTAGCTGCTGAGGTTAAACTAGAAAGGGGTGGGCATTAATGAACTTTTCACCGAGTCTCTTGTGCATTGTAACTACTAAGGAAATGTACAGTTCATTATGGTGGGAGGTATCCTTGTCTTGTCACATGTACTGTTCTGAGTGCGTAATTAATTTGTTAGGTTAGGTTTGGTTTAAAAATATGGGCAAGAAATGAACACAAGAAATTTTATGTAAAAGTGTTGTGTTAACTATTGCCACATCTCTTCATATTCTGGATATCTTGAGTGTGTTCCTCATGACTGACATCTGGGCATGTTTTTATAGATTCCTCAACATTGATTTCTGGGTATTACTTGTAACACATTTGTTGACAAACGTGATAAAAAGTGAGAGTTATTGGCATGTCTTGGATGTAGTGGGCCTTGCTGCAAGGGCAGTCACTAGACACTCGTAAGGCACAACTTTCAGACCGTTACAGCAGTACACATAACTTTTGTTTAAAAATGTGCGTGTCTTGCATATTTGTTTTGACAACCCTGCTCTGCGTTTGTGCAGCATCATCACATTGTTCTGTTCTGCAGAACATTTCTGTATTACATTTTGATAGGTCACTTATTTAAAAAAATTGCATTCAGTGTGTGTGTTTTAAAATTAGTTTAAATGACCAAGAACACTTTACACTTACATTACGCAGTAAATCTGATGAAGATGACGGAAAATTGAAGCACACTATGGTAGTGGTGGGGAAAATAAAATATTTGTATATAACAAACCTATTTATACTGTTAAAAGAACACTAAAATATTTTGAATCATTAATAACATACATTTTTCACTTTGTATTTTAACTTGTGTCTAGGTTAAACATAGCCATCTCCTTTAAATATGTTAAAGACAAAAGTTATGTTATTTGGTCTATTAACAGACAAAGAAAACATGGAAAAAGAGTTTAATAACACTAGTCTTAAGATCGCTGTCTTCTGGGTTACTGCACCCTGATGACAAGGCAGCATGACCTCTGAAAAGTTGGTGGACATTTACCAGACTACATGGTGCAATGATTCACAAGACAGCAATCTTCAGCCTCACCACTGTGAAAACCTCAGATCTTACAACACCAGTCTTGATAACTGAGTCTTGAAATACAGTGTTCACTTGATTTTTAAGAATTTTATAAATGCTTACTTCCACTTTACCAAAGAAATTTTTTTTACATGTGCCCTTTCTTATTCTAATGCATTTATTTGCAGTGGTCACTTGTCCAACTAGACAACGTGACCACATCAGTGCTACAAGAAAATTTATAGAATGGCTAACGAAGCATGCATTGAAGTGACCATTGTTTTCTTAGGGGAAGAGACCTTGCAGCTTGTGAGAGAACAGTAAAAGTTCTTAATTTCTGTGGGCTGCCCTGTAGTGTGGGCTCCCATTCATTGCACTGCCTGCACTTATGAATGATTTACCAGTGATGTGGGTGCATTTGTGCTTCATACATGTGCCAGATCATGGCACCTGTTATTTATACTCGTTTGTCATGTAGTAGATATATGCTTGCCACTAAATGAATAATTTGAATACAAACTGCAGGATTTTAGTGAATTTTAGTTTAAAGATGTTAGTGTTCAGAATTTACAAATGAAACTGAAAGCCTTAAACCGTCAAGTTATGGATAAAAGTTTCCATTGCTGATTGGCCGTCGTTTTAATGTGTACTGTACCAGTCACCGAACTGTGTTATGTAGGAGTGTATAAGTGTAAAGGGAATTAGTGTTTAATCAGGCTAGATGGAGGCATCAGCAGAAGTCAACTTGGATGAGCCAAGCACTCACCTGAGATGAAGAAGCAGCAACCACTGTAAGCACCATTCCATAAGCCAACATGGAACAGGACCAGCCTTTTGTGGGCCTTTCGTATTTCTTGCCTCAGCCCTCCGGAACAAAACTGTGTTGGAGAAATAGCACTGTGTGGAACTAAGTCACACTAAGATTGAATGTTTCTTTGGTGTCAAAACTATTACCTGATGTGTTTATACTTTGGGTTTGAGCAGACACTGAGAGTGAGATATAGTAGAGTAATTCATGTGTAATTTTATGTTTTGTTAATTTTTTACTTCTTATGCCACGTGATCAAAAATTCACGCAAGAAAACCCACTGAGGTCACATCATGCTGTAAGCTCCTTACATAGAACAGTCTGTTGTCTTCTAGCAGTGTAAGTGCAAAGATATCTTTTTCAGAAGTTTAACGAGTATTTATCATCAAACACCATATGGCATGTAAATAAACTCTACTCTACTCTAATAATCCTAAGATATCTTTTTCAGAAGTTTAACGAGTATTTATCATCAAACACCATATGGCATGTAAATAAACTCTACTCTACTCTAATAATCCTATTTGTATGTATGGGCTTGTACACTTTCTCTGATCCTTACTGTCAAAGCTCCTAATGTATATTAGGTTTCCCATATTTTTCATTCAACATTTCAAGTTTTAGAGGCTGTTTGAGGACTCTCATAGATTCACAGGTTTGATAATTTTGTTGGTTAATCAGAGCACTTGAAATAAATTGTTTCTTTGTTCCAATACTATAATGTCAGAAGAGGTATAGTACATTGATGTAAATCATTCTAACAGAGATTCCTTTGAAACACAGGGAGTCAGAATGATGTTCATAAGAACATAAAACATGCTAATGGTAAGAAAGTTAAAACTGTTCCTGGCCACCACACAAAGAAGGTCCTGGAGGTAAAACTTACAGTGTAGTCATACAATTTTAATCCTCGGAAGCTGTCGTATATTATGGTGTGGTCCAGAGAATGAGTAGAGCTATTTGAGCTCTGAATTATGACAGGCTGCCTTACCTCATCATCGTGTGGATTAGATTAATTTTTATGCAAGTGGGGCTCAGAGCATAAAGTTGACTCTGTGTGCACCTAGGAACAAGTTACAACACCAGACCTACACACTGACATATTCTTGTTAGAGTGAGGAGATACATTACTATTTCATAGAGAATATGACTTCAGGGATTAAATTATTTGATCAGTTATTAAGCAGTGCCTGACATAGATAATGTTCTTGAACACATTTAGAGATAAAGAAAATTAGGTGTATTATGGAAACTGTTAGGAAAGATTGGATTTAGCTATTCTAATGTCTTGTTACCCTCTGTTCCTCGGTGTGGATGCTGTACTGTGTTTGTGATAGTAATTCCTTAAAAATGACTGGATGTTCCCTGTACTCCCAGATTCAATTTCCAGTTTATTTATTTATTCTGTATCCAAATACCATTCAAAGTAGAAATCATTAAATAGAATAATATTAATAACATTGAGATAAAAAAGGAGGTGGGGTAAAATTTAATATAGAATAAATATAAAAGTAAATTTACAACATATATATATAAAACTATATTTGAATCCAATATCAGGCATGAAGAATGGCAGTGTCTGTACATGTAGCCAAATCTTCGCTTGTGCAGGGAGAATCTAAGATGGGGCAAACCAGGAGGTGATCCATTGTCTGTGTTTGTCCACAGGAACACTTGTCTCACACACAAGGATATCCCCACCTCATTAGGTTTGCCGCACACCTGCCAGTATATGTACAGAGTCTGTTTAAAGTTTTCCAGGTAGGCCAGTCTAATTCAGAACCTGGAGGAAGGATTTCCTTGGGCTCTAGGCCCAGACGGTCCTGCATGTCTCTTTCACTTCTTATTTTCCATAGCTAGGTTCTTTAATTTTTCTGGTTTCCCTGGAGTGGTGAGGTTCTGGCAAGGAAATTCCTTATAGATTTGAGTCTTTGGTTTGTGAGAATTTTCCCATTTCCAGTGAGGTAGTTTGTATTCTTGCCATCGACACCTTTGTACCAATTCTGTGGTCCTCAGAAGCACTGCTTATCCACCTAATATGGAGTTTAAGAACATACCTTTTTGGCTTGTTGCTATTTTTCATTTTCCTTTTGTTTTATAACCCTTTCAGGTTTAGTGAATAGTGCTAACCATGATATGGAGCCAGTTAGCTCTCGCTGTATAGAGACCTAGTTGCAGCCGAGACAACCGGGAGAGTGAGAGAATTCTTTTTAGTTGCTGCCTCCAGATTGACTCTGACTCAGCAACTTCAACAGTTGTTTCAGTTGTAAAGGTTTGCCTTTTCTCACTCTGATAAACATATTACAAGCGTCTAAACATTTGGAATGAAACACTGTGGTCAGTTGGATTTTCACTGTTGTTGCAAGGGGGGAGTTAATATATTTTAGTATTCTATCGACCTCAAAAGGACAGACTGCTACATGATAAAATATGTGATAGAAACCAAAGGTCATGACAGGTTCTCATTGTAGTGGTTGTGCTGCGGACTAGATTGGCATTCGATTTCATGCAGCAGAAAGCCTTTCTTAGTTACCGATCCAGACCGGCCCTAGGGGGCCATCAAATGGACACCATTGGCTTGAAGCTAAGTATTTACCACCATCTAGAGCTGGGGTAAAACATTTGTGGGTATTCCCCCTCCCAAATAACTTCATGCCGTGGTGCTAACAAGCAACAGTAACAGTTTAATATTTCCAGTCACAGTAAGAACCTATGATCTAGATTTGCTCACATATAATAGCCCCCACATTGTTGGAATAAAAGAATAGAATATGCGCAAGATTGTGAAGTGTTTCATAATTTTAACTTATTCTTAAAGCATCCCAATGTTTACAGTTTGCATTACTCTTTAGCATATCACAACAAATGTAACTTTTAATTGATTTTATTAGGCGAACATTCCTTGCAGTAAGATTAAAACACTGACCAATGAATGAGATCCTGAGTGACATACTAGTACAGTAGTGCCCAAAATAGGGTGTCCTTTCTGATTCATGACTTAGAATCATCCTACATCATCTTGTTCATAATATTCCTCAGTCCTGGAAAATTCCAGGAAAACACCTTAAAGTAGGCCATACCTGCTGCCTCTCACATCCCAGACATCTTTTCTTCAGAAATTTTCAACCTCCACAAATTACCTGGACATCCAGATTATTGAGTATTTAGAATTGCCGCATTTTCACACTGGTCAGTTTTGGCCTCACTATTAACTAATGCGTATTGTAATTACATCCTCCATTTTCCCATCCCATCCATAACTGGCCTTGAATTTAGTTACAGGAATGTTAAATGTTTGTGCTATTTTATAAACTTCCAGCTACAGAATTTAAGTAGAAACTGCATGTGTTCCTCATGGCATGGCATAAGCAGAGTACGTCTTCAATTTGAAAGAAGCTGATTTGTTTACTATGAAATGTCTGCTTTCTGTCATTGAATTGTCTAGATTTTTCATTATGTTTATACCATTCTCTAACACACTGTTTGTTCACATCAAACTTATGACCTGCAGGTCTTTTGCCTTGTTTCTCTGCATATTGGTACAGCTTGTAGCTTAAAACTTATGGTGTTACTCAATATCTTGTTACCTGTAACTAGGGTGCGTTTGTTACTACAGCACACAAAAACCAATAAACTACAAGAAGGATGCAGATAAACGGAGTGTGTCAGCAATTGTTTTTTGAGTTTTGGATTTTTCTGTTGCTGTAAAAGAAAGGCCATCATCTGACTGACTTTAGATATGAATGCATCTACGTAGGTTTCATGAGATACCAGCCATAACAATGAATGCTGATACTGTCTGCATAATCTTCAGACATCTTATACTACAAAACATTTTGTTCCTAAACGTGTTATACACAAATATTTCATTTTTTAATTTTCAAATCCAAAAATAAAGGTGTGTGTTATATGCAGATAAATGTATATATTATACTTTCCTTTTTTTAATGTAGTGACCACAGAGTGACGTATTATTTTGTAATTATGAAACATGAAAGTGAATGTGTTGTTTCTCATAGTAAATTTGAAGACTCCTCTATGGATGAATCGGGAAGTGGTACTTCTACTAACATAATACCTATTGCAGGCTCAAATTCAAATATTTCTTTTAACATTAAAGATTTACAAAGTGTGGAAATAAAAAATTCAGGTCTAGTATACAGTACAAAACATCTAAGGAACACGTGAGATAACTTAAGATAATGCAGAAGGCTTTCTTGTATTATAAAATGTATTTTGAAATAAATTTCTTGCCAGCATTTTCGTACATCACAGAACTTTACTAAAATACAGGTATACCATTGAATATGCAACCCAGTATCATGTACCATGGTACAAAAATGGAATCAGAAGCATGTTCCTCCCAGTGTAATGAACTCTCTCAACCTTCCCCATGACATTCCATTGAATTTCGTCCTGGTTACTAGGCCCTTGCTCACAGTTGTTGGGCTGGAGAATGGGCAAGGTCATAGCAGTGCATCTAGGAAGAGACGGCAACACAAGAGTGGCGACAGTTAAACTTGCAAGGGGTCAAGTGAAAAGACATAAATAAACTGTGTCCACTTCCACATGACTAGTGAAAGGGGCTTTAAACAAATTAAGTGTGAATAAGTATTTGTTTTAGTGACCGATGAATACGAATATCGTTCCACTTACACATCATTTTTTGTTTTGTTTACAATTGAACAATTTCGATTTACAAGCAATGTAATTTGTAGTAAATGTTGACATTCGTCAATGTAGACGGAATGTTCGGTGTTCATGTTGGCAGCACTGTAACCGTAGCTATTGTTCGATGTTTAATGTTGGTACCACTGTAACCTTAGCTTCCGTTCGGTTTTAATGTATACTTGTTCTGTTCTGCCTTGTGCTTCATGGAGGGAAGGTGGCTGTAAGTTCTGTACGAGTTTGAAGTGTGTTTTAATAAAGAAATAGTCCATTGTAGGGGGACATACGCCCACTCAAGGAACAACAGTGTTACATTTAACTGATGTAAGGGACCATTAAAATAATAAAAATTTGCGTACATTTGTTATTGTTAAGTATTGGAAGTACTGGAAAAGCTGATTCGCACACTTGTAACTTAATATTCCTTTTATGCATAAAAGCGTCTTGTTACAATAATTAATTATCTTGCTATATCTGGTTTCCAGTGCGGTGCAGCTGTTGTCCTGTGTGATAGGAAGCAGCTTTGAGTATTCAGAAAGGTGAGTTTTTATTTGTAGGCTTTTGCAATAAAATTAATATTTCGGGTACTATTTCACCAAGTTCTTGGTGCAGCAGTTATCCTGTGTGCCTGCCTGTGTAGGAGGAAGCTGCTTTGAGTATGCAGAATGGTGAGTTTTTATATGCAAACTTTTACAATTATATAATATCTTAAGAACTATTTCACCAAATTCAATGGAATAAAAAATACAATTTATCATAATGAAGTATATAAGTTATATATAACTGATATAAAAGGCCATTAAAATAATAATTTACGTACACAAATTCCTGTCAATTATTGATGAATTTGTGGATCATCAGTGTGGGTTCAGGTGTAACAGATCAACAATAATTATTGAACAGATCTGCATTTGTCAGATACTAGAGAAAAGATGGGACAGTACATCAATTAATTAAAAGTTTCAGAAAAGCCTACCACTCTGTTAAAAGAAAAGTGTTACACAATATTCTCATTGAATTTGGTAAACCATAGAAGCTAGTGAGTTTAATCAAAATGTGCTTAAATGAAACCTGTAACAAAATTCGAGTAGGTAAATATGTATCTGAGTCATTCTTCATCAAGAATGGTCTGAAACAAGGAGATGCTTTGTCTCCATTGCTCTATAATTTTTTGTTAGAATATGCCATCAGGAAAGTCCAACATAGGCAGGAGGGTTTGCAATTGAATGGGACATTGGCATTTGCTGATGATGTTAATTTATTGGGGGATGATATGAATACAATTAAGAGGAATGCACAAGTTTTACTAGAGGCTGGTAGACTGGTGGGGCTAGAAGTAAATTCAGATAAGTACTAAGTGCATATTAGTATCCACTGAGCAGACAGGCAGGAAAAATCATTTTAGTTTGGCTAGTAAATACTTCGAAAATGTGTGACAAAGTCCAATTATCTGGGAACAATAACATCAAAATTATATTCATAAGAAAATTAGGAGCACATTAAATTCACGAAATATGTGTTACTTCTCAGTTCAAAATAGGGATTAGCTGTATCGATTGGGCCCAACAGATTAGGTTTTACTTGAAGACGGAGATAGGCTTATATTGATTTTATTTAGTATTGGAGGATGGTTAATATCCAGAGAACAGTTTACTTCATAACAATATTTTGTCTTCCCGTCTGATTTCTAAGAAGCTATAGATTGAAATATACAAAAACAATAATTTTGCCTGTTTTGTACGGGTGCGAAATATGGTTTCTCACTCTGATGGAGGAACATGGATTGTAGGTGTCTGAGAATCAGGTGTTGAGGATATTTGGGCCTAGATGAGAAGACGATTGTTAGGGTGATTAAGTCGAGAAGAATGAGATGGGCGGGGCATGTAGCGCACATGGATGGGACAAGAGGTGTGCACCGGGTATTGGTTGGGGAGCCTGAGTGGAAGAGACTGTTAGGGAGACCTAGGTGTAGATGGGAGGATAATGTCAAGCAACTGGATTTAGTTGGCCCAGGACGGTACGGTGGAGGGCTTTGGTTAATTCGGTTATGAACCTTTGGGTTTCCTAAACCATCTGGTCAGTGAGTTATCTAATGGGTATATGTAGCTAATGCTGAAACTACTGAAGAACTTGATACACACTTATTTGTTTCTTGGTATTCCTTGTACGTTTGTGACAATGTCTAAAGCAAGGCATTGAACATGTAACGTAGGGACATGCAGACTTGTACCATAAAAGTTATATCTCGGGAAATTAATTGCGTATCTTGATTGATGATTTGTACATCACTTAAGGACACTAGCACCCTGCATGGGAGCCCATCAAATTTAAGGACCATAAAAATTGCATTCATTATCTCTCTATTCATAATTCAATTGATTACTTCAGTGTGATAACCTTTGTAAAAGGAAACACGTTTGATTTATTTATCCTTGAGAGTAACCAATTAACCTAGGGTGTGGTGCCTCTGTACGTCTTTTTGCTGAGCGTGTCCTCTCTCTTGATGTCCACATCCTAAATACCAGGGCCTGTTATCCTGACCTTGTTAGGAATGGTGGTGTCTGTTGTCGAAACTAGGTCCTGGGTTCGATGATGCTGAAGCATACTTTGACGACGATTGGCTGTGATCCAACGTCTCCACTTTGTTGAGAAATGTTAGTGTCCGGTATGTTTCTCGGTTGCGCAACGACCCATGGTCTTTGCACCTGAATCGGAAAGTGGTGTCAAATTCCTTCTAAGATTTCACACTCCAGGCAGTGCCCTTGCCTCCCTCCAGCTCTGTGTAAAGAAAGTCCTAATTAAAATGTATTGGAATATATATTATTTAAATATTGTCCGTCTAATCACAATAAATTCTTATTAAATATTAAAATATTACAATAATTGACATTTAAAATATTTAAAATATTAATGATGTTCTTTATCGAAATATTCGATTTACATTAGACCATCATTTTTCACGACATGTTTCAGTTCCTTCAGGTGTATATAATTATATAAAGATTCAAATCAATAATAACTTAAATACAATTTCTATATATTATTTTAGCGTACATTTTTATCAGATGTTTATCAGATATCAAACGATGTTCTTTTCCAGATTTTATTCCA